CCCAGGGGTGTCTGTATAATGATAATATCTCACAGGCCCCTCCATGGGTTTGAGGCCTTATTATCAGAGCAGGTAAAGTAATTTCTCAGTCAGACCAATGTTCCACACTAATTCCTCCTCTATATGTGCATCTGTGTGCGCGCGCATGTGTGTGTTTTTGGTTGTGTGCACACATCAAAGCAGTACAGAGAGATGAGCCCGATAGTATTTCTCTGATTAATTTAGTCATTTGGGATACTCTGTTAACTGGATTACACTCTGATGTGTTGATATGACCACATGGCCGTGGGTTCTCTGAGCATGTGTGTGTGTGTGTGTGTGTGTTGATGCACATGCCGATATACATGCATTAAACAATTATCAAAAAGCTCTGTGTTTCATTCCACTTGTGAGGTCCAGAAAGCGTACAATGACATATAAAGAGCCTCTGACTGATGAGGGAGGGAGCTTTAAAGTAGCTGTGCTTAAGAGGCTGTTCTGTAAATTGACTTACCAGTTAAGTGATGAGACATTCATTCAAAGTCATTCGCGTGTTCCAAGTAGCCTGATAATCACAACAAATTACCATTTGTTTTACTTCATTCATTTAACCCGACGTGTTAATGTTATCCCATTTCTTTTTGTGATGGACTATCAAAGGGAGCTTAAAGGAGCAATTAACTAAAACACTAGAGTCTGAGTACATTTTGAGGGTCGATGCAATTGTGGGTTTTTAGGAAACCCATATCACAATTACGATATAGATATTTTAATGTATCTAGGGTAAGATCGGCTCATTGTTTATAACTTTATTGTCAGTGTATTCCCACAGATTATGTAGCACACGACACCAAACACCTGTGTGTTCAGTTATTACACTGCTCTGCTATGTGGGCAGTGCTCAGGGCATCGAACTGTGACATAATTTCAAAATTACCACAGGCATCGTTTTCCAGGCCATCATCTGGGCATAAAATAATGCAGTTTGGTAAAAGCTGCTGTCTCAGTTATGCTTTAGGAACACAGGGCTATTTCTCATGACTCGTCATTTTTTTTAATGTGAAAGAATATTGGTCTGAAGGGGCGTGTTTTAGCCCAAACTACAAGTTTTTATTGCCTAAACTGAACCGGCATGCGGATATGAAACTAAAAAGTGAGTTTAAACTAAATCAAACAGCTAGTGGAACAATTGCGAAAGAAAGAACAAAAGTCCAAACCTCCAGCCTTCTCCTTTATTTTCTAAAAAAGAAGACATTTATCCTGGTGGCCAATAATGCTGAGATTCACATGAGAATCTGTTGCTTTCATAAGTTTCATATTGACTCATACTGCACATCATATGTAATCTGATAAAATCACCCTATACCAGGGGCATAAGAGATAGCTAGAAGAAGAATATACTACTGCGAAGTGTGTATTTGAGTTTCAGGAGCTCAGTTCATTAACTATAATCCCGGATCATGTGATGACAACTTAAACAAAACTTAAAAAGTAGTTGAAATCAAGTGGTTAGTGTTGTATTTTGTAGCTCTTCTCTGAAATGATCCTGTCCGTCTGAGAAAGAATCTGGTCAGTTTAACAACATTGAAAGGATTGAAAGAACACAGAAGACAACTAAACTCAGTGATTCCAGAAGTCTTTCCTTACTTAATAAAAATAACTTCACAGTATATCTATCCAAGTCAAGAACACTCTACAAAGAAAGGCTTGCCACTGATAAAGTATCTTTCCAAGAGACATCTTTATGAATGGAAACACAGGGTCTTTATAGCAGGATAGCAAGGACTAAATCACTGGTGACACTCAAGAGGGGCGGATTAGACTTTACTGTAAATCATCTAAAAGAGCCTGAACACTTGTGAAAAAAAGGATTTGAACAGATGAAACCAAGATTTGTACCAGAATGATGTGAAAAGTGTGAAGAAGGAGAAAAGCAGCTCATAATCCGATGCATGTAGCACCATCTCTCAAACACAGTGGAGGTAATAGTATGGCATGGGCATGTATGGCTGCCAGTGGAACCGGGTCATTTATGTTTATTGACAATGTGACTGCTGATAGAAGTGTACGGGCTATACTCTCTGCTCAGACTCAGAGAAACACTGCAGAACTGATCAGAAAACACTTCACAGCACAAATGGATACTGACCCAATGCATACTGCAAAAGCAACACAGGAATTTTCCAAGGTAAAGAAATGCAATACTTAAATGAGCAAGTCAGTCATGCAATTTCAGCCCAACAGAGCATACTTGCCAGGTACTTAACACAAATCTGAAGGCAGACAGGCCCCAAACCAAACAGCAGCTAAAAGTGGATGCAGTAAAGGACTAGAAGAGCATCTGAAGTATTTGGTGACGTCCATTAGTTCTACACTTTAGGCTTTAGACTGCAAAGAATTTTCAACCAAGTAGCAATAAGTCTTTATATTTAGACTCCTGTTATTTTTTCTTGTTATTTCCGAGTCTCCGAAAAATATAAAATTAAAATGAAATATATCAAATTAAAAGTTAAGTAAACTGTTGAAATACTTTTGTTTGTTTTCTTAAAGCTTTAAGTCTTCACTTACATCATATATTACTTTTTTGATTTAAAATTCACTGTGGCGGTGTACAGAGGCAAAATTACTAATTGTAGTTTATACATGAGCATCTTTCAGCTCTGTAACTCTCTGTTGTTCTCTGTAGGCTTGTATTTGCCAGGGTCAGTAAGAGTCAATTTAAATCCCTCTTTGAAATAACCCTTGCTCAATTTCTCCAGCATGTTTCCTTTTTTACTGGATTGTGGCGACATTTGACTTAAAACCAAGGGATTTAAATTTGGCTTTCAGTTGATTACCTGATTTGTTGTGTTTAGGCACCAAAACTATGTATTCATGGCCAGGTTTTGGTCACATTGCACTCTTTTATGTGTGACATAGCTCTGTTGTATGTGCTTCAAGGGTACCAAATATAGCTCTCTTTAAAGCTGGCAAACCAGCACATAACACTCATTATAATTGCACTTCTTCACGAGACTGTTAGAGGCTGCTGAACCTTAAAAACAGTAGGCCTACAGCCTACACATACCACCTCTTTTGTTGTTTTCAGTGGGAAGACTATCTTGATGCTGTAGGATGATTGTACAGATGAGGGATGGTGGAGAATAGATATGGTAAATTACTCATGTGTAATGATTATGTAAATTGTTTTATTAATATATGTGCACTAAAAAAAAAGTTGCCAATTGCTGATACGTCTAAGCCAGAAAGCTGAACTTCAGTGCACGTTTTTCCACAAAGTGCCCATGGTGGCTATTTACATTGAGGAATGATTAAGGCAACCGATTTTAATGTGCATCTTTACGTGTGGGGACTGCATTAAATACCATGAACCTCACCGAATCATCTGTAAAAGGTTGCAAAATGGGAATTCAAGTCCAGTTGTCAGTAAATGTGTGAAAACAGTTGTGTATAGGTTTGAGTTTGTGTGCTGTGTCAAGATGCATCATGGCAGACAACCAGTGAAATGCAAAGAAAAAGGGAGAGAGAGAGAGAGAGAGAGAGAGAGAGAGAGAGAGAGAGTGTGGAGTGGGTTAGGATAACAGTGAGGGGCAGAGAGACACCACGAAGGAGAGAGCGCGAGCGCACGAGGAAGAGAGATGGTAGAGTGGCCAGAGGGCAGTGTGCATTAGAGTAAGAGCCTGATTGGCTCTGACCTTCCTCACAGCCAGCTGTCAGCCTCTTAGATACAGACACACACACATGCACGCACACATACACACACACACAGCATAGAGCACACAGCCTGTTACGGCCCTGCAGGCTCTGATTACCATATCAGCACTGTCTCATTTGCATAAATCCCAGCACTCTTAATTAGGCTTCATCTCTCTCTTCCTCTCTTTACCTCACTCTCATTTTCAGCTCTTTCCCTGCACTTTTCTTCCTCTCTCTCGCTCTTCCTCCATTTGCTTGCAGATATGAGCTGGGGTTTAGGGTTAGAATTAACAGATAGGAGGGTCCATGACTCCCAATTAGTTTAGTGCTGATTAGTCTAATGACAATTTCACTTCATCTACATGTATTAGCACACCATATTCTTTTACTGCTTCTGTTCACATAAACATTATCTGCAAGGAATTTTCTCTTTCATCTTCTCCCCTCTCTCTTCCCTTTTTCCCTCTTTTTTATTTTACAGGTGTTATGGTCAGAAAGGACAATGAGCTAATTATGGCCAGAAGTAAACTTTCGTACCTGCTATAAATGAACGCGCAGAACCATTAGCTTTGCCTGCATGCGGTGGAATTAAAATAACTTGATATTGTTTTGGTGTGTAATTACCTTGAAATTATTTACATGAAGCTCCAAATATAAAGATTAATAATCAAAAGTTTATTTTTCAGCCAAACAGAGGTCACAACATGTTATATTGCAGATCAAGGTGTCTGAATTAATAGTGGATTTGGCGCTTACATAACACGTAGGAGATATATTTGCAGACCTGCAAAGTGATTGTGAAGAACACATACGGAAATACACTGTCTCAATATGTGTCTGTATGAATGACTCAGCAAATTTTTGAAAGTGTCAGACACGTAAAGATATTTAACATTCACATTTCAGTGTTCTTTATTTGGTTCCTGCAGACAGACACAGCTACAGATGCCTCACGTGCCTCAAACAGTTGAGCAGCAGATGGAGCGCAGACAGCAAGGTGAAATATCTGAAGTAAGTAAAACTACACTTGGTGGGTATGATTTTTTTTAAGGAAAACAAAATGAGAGTTTGCTGAAGATATCTGATTTTCTTTCATTCATCAAACCCCAACACTGACATTCAACTTGGATACTATTTTAGCGTTAAAAAACTTTAAAAAAAAAAAATTATAGCTAAAATGTACTACAAAAATAAGGCTTCACACATGCTTTGCATCACTGTCATTAGAGGAGCAACACTAAAGAACACCTGGGAAACTAATGTGTTCGGAAAATCACAGGATTTGACAACCCGAGAATGTGGAAGTCCTGGAAAAAAGCTCCAAGAACTGTAGGAACCTAATAACAGCTTCTGTAAAATATTCCATCAAAATGTTTGTTTTTTGAAAGTGTTAAGTCTGATTTTACTTTTAGTCTTTTGATGATGTTATGATGTCAAGCACAGCAACTGGGGACCAAAGGTGTTGTGCATTCGACTGCTACCCAGTCCACACTGCACCAGACCCCTGCAGCCCATCCTGCAGGTGGGTCCAGAGACGTGGGCTCTCTCTTAGAGACAGGGTCATTTGAGACTGACTGCTTCTCCAAAACAAAACCAACCAATTGAGGTGGTCTGGATATGTAACTAGAATGGACACCTCCTAGGTGAGGTGTTTTGGGTATGCCCAACTTAAGGAGACCTTAGAGCAGACCTAGGACACAGTGAAGACATTACTTCTACTGATGCTTAGACTGCTGCCCTCTGACCCAGGCCTGGATGAATGGATGTTAAGAACGTTTAAAAGGTTCATTGTAAGTATTATAATACAAATAAGGCACTTTGTGAGTGGAGTTGATGGAACTGAGTCATGCAAACTCCCTGACTCACACATATGTCCCAAAACCACATTATGCTCTTTACAGTTGAGAAAGACTAAAGTGAAATTTCCATTTTCTGTATTTTGTAAATGATCTTTCTGTTTGTTTTTTTCAGGTATGCAACTTCATTATAGTTACTAAAAAAAATAAATTAACTGAATAAAAATGAAAACTAGGTAGTCACAATGAATGTTTTTAATATCTGTTTAATTTTTAGTTTAGTCTTAATTAACTATAATGAAGTTTACTAGCAATCAGAAATGAAGCACAACTAATGATCATTTGTTTTCATAGTAGTACTCTGTTAAATGTTCCACACTTAACAACTTTTTGCATGCAGCCTCATCCTAATACTGCTTTCAGACTGGAAATGGTAAAAGCAATCATGGCAAACCACCAAGACAACCGAGTCTTTCTGAGTGGAGTCCAGTTATATATGTTTGCACTGTGTTAGTGAATGAGCAGAATGCAATACAACATCTTAATGTTGCTGTAGACCTTTCTTGCTGCTTTGGCGCACATATCCAAATGCTTTTCAGTTAAAAACAGGGAAGGTTTAAAGTGTTGTCCATGCTGGTTTTGCACCATTTTTTCAAAAGCAATTTAGTTAATTGTGACTTACAATCTATTTGTTTCTTATATATCTTTTAAAGCATTATTCTATAGTGGATCTTGTTTGTGAATGTAGACACATGAATGATAATAGATTGGGGGGAACTAAATCATATTCAGCTTTGGTGCCTCACTCAGCCGGAGGCGACCCTGATCTGTAAACCCCCAGTATGTCTGCCAGAGGGCGTGTTACATCACCTGAAAGCCTACAAAAATGGACGTGGAACTCAAGACCAGTTTGGTAACATGTTATTAACCTAACTAGGCTGCCTGAGAAGGATCTAGATCAAAGAACAGGACTCGGACAAACGGTGAAGGTTCAACTACATCTACGTGATCTAAAACTCAGATGCACACACAGATGGTTTTTGGGGGTCCAGGGTGGAAACAGGGGGAACTCAGGGAGACTACTGAAGCTCTGAATGCTGAATGCTGTGTGTGTACACCGTATGTGTGTGTTGTTGGAGGGAGGTGTGTAGGGGGGTTAAACACAGCTATATTCTGTAGATAACAGGATTAGCTGGGAAGCGGATAATAAGTTAGCATTTCCTCCCTGCGGCACTCTCTCCTCTCTCCTCTCTCTAATCCTGCAGCTTTGATGTCCCTGCTCCCATCAGGTATCTGGGCTGCTCTGGCCCCAGGGCCCCGGGGGCCTCCAAATGCTCAGACACTGTGTGTTGTATTTGTGCGTGTTTGTGTGTGTGTGTGCATGTGGGTGTGGATGTCTGCCTGTCTATGTGTGTGTGTATTCAGTGTCCTCATTAGTTCTGCCTGTTTACTAAAGTTGGCTTCTTGGGATGAAATCTGCTGCACGGCCGCTCTGCCAGAGATCTGCTCACTATTTACAGCTCGCTCTCCCTGCCAGGATCTGACCCGACAGAAAGCTGATGAGGCATTTTGTTCTGGGCATGCAACATCTAAACAACAACAATAAGCCAACAAACAATAATTTCAACACCAAAGCAAGGCAGAAATTTAGAGCTTTACAGGAAAATAATAAGATGGGATTTTCCTTTTTTTTTTTTCAAGATTTCAGGCTCCAGTTACATTATTCCATGATGTGCGGCTGGGAATCATTGAACTGCGATCACTTTTCAAATCACGTTGTTTATCGTTGTTTGAACTAAACTGACTTGTTTTTTCCATATTTATGGACATGAATCTCTGACACGAGTCAGAAAAATGACTTCACTGAAAGATTGTGAATGTTGTTCACATTGTTGTGACAAGCACCCCACTGTCATGTGTGGAAAAGACAAAAGTAGTGTGACTTGATACCAATGATTGTTTATAAAATATGGAAAAAGCCACCCATTGGTTTGTAATGTTTATTACATTGTGGCTCAAGAGTTGGGCGTTCGCCTTGTAATTGGAAGGTTGACAGTTCGAGCCCCGGCTCAGACAGTCTCGGTCGTTGTGTCCTTGGGCAAGACACTTCACCCGTTGCCTACTGGTGGTGGTCAGAGGGCCCGGTGGCTCCAGTGTCCGGCAGCCTCGCCTCTGTCAGTGCGCCCCAGGGTGGCTGTGGCTACAATGTAGCTTGCCATCACCAGTGTGAGAATGGGTGGATGACTGGTTTTGTAAAGCGCTTTGGGGTCCTTAGGGACTAGTAAAAGCGCTATACAAATACAGGCCAAATAAGTCTCAAAGCAGCCACGTTCCTAACATTGCTAGCCTGTAAACATGCTCATTTCTGCTGCAAAATTGTGAATTGTAACATGGGAGCTTGTGGCCACTGATTTGGTTTAAAGCAAGCCAAATGGCCACTTGAGGAACTGCAATTTTTAATATTTCTGCAGTGACTTGTTTGACTTGGGTGTGAATACAAAGGCATTTCAGTGGCATCAGTTTCACTTTTCATCTCCTCTGCCTAGAGTATCAGTAATCAGCCATGGCTGTTCCTTAGTCATCTAATGGCAGTAGATTAAAAGCTTTCGTCTATTATTTTTTTAAATTGACATATAGGTAAGGTAAGAAGTAAGAAACTTAAGATATTCATACAGAAGCGACTAGTTGATAACTAGTTAGCCAGGCCCTATAATGCCACCCTGCTTTATTCGATTTTTTGCTCTAAATGGGACCGTCATTGAGTGATATACTGATATTTGCTGATATCATGGATTAAGTGAGCAGTGGTTTGAATTCTGCATTTGTGTGGCCTGTGAACTACAACTTAAACTGTAGTAGAAACTATTTAACAGCACTTTTGTTAGTTAGCTTTGTGCAAGCATACAATTCTAGGCTCCATAGTGCAGTAGTTTATGCATTCACCAAAAAAGCAAATGATCATGTTCAGTCCTGGGAGGAGACACACATTCCTTGTGGGCTGCATCAGGAAGAATATCCAGTGCACAAATCTTTACAATCGAACCTTCAAATACCCACTGTGATGATCCCTCGTAAGTAAGGGAGTAGCTGAAAGCACTATACACTGAAAAAAATATTTATGCCCAAAATACTGACTAAATTCTCTCATGTAATTTTGTTACAGAAGTACAATTTAAAACATTACATTTGAAGAAACCTGGTTAAATAAACTTCACTTGATTTTTATGCATTCACTTTATGTTTATTTTTCCTTAAAGTTTATTTGAATGATTTATTTGAATAAATAAACTCAGAATTTCTGAGTCATGTTTATTAGGGTCAATCATTTATTTGAGTGTAAAATATTAGCAAATAAAAAAACTCTGATGTGATTTTTCTTCTTGAGTTGTAAAACTTTGTCCGAGGCTCTGTTAGAGTTTTACTATTGAATTAACTTTCTAACAAATACATTTTTTCCTTATTCGGTTTCCAGACTTAATGATAAGTTAATGATAACCGGCCCATGGAGCTAGGTTCTTATTAATTGGACAGATTATATTGGTATTAACCATATTATTCAGTTTTCTTCTTAGCTAAGATCACCGATGTCAAAGCAATCCTTTGAAGCCAGACACACTCTGCACCATTTTGGGGATAAATCATCCCTTCCTAATTACACGTCCCTGTATTATTTCCATGACATAATAATTAATCAGAAAAAAGCCCTCCTCTTTGGCTATAAAGGATAATGCTGAAGGCAGATTATCTTGGACCTTTATCTTATCACCATATGGAAGTTATATGATCTCTATAGCGTTGTCAAAGTGTTTACCAAGAACAGCACGCTTCAGTGTGTGTGGTTGTATGTGTGTGTGTGTGTTCTGTGGGAAGAGAGAAATTGAGTCTAGGAGTGTGTGAGTCTAATTAAAACGATGAAAATAATTACTGATACAGGCTGACAGACAGCCTCGCCCTCAGACATCCTCAGTAATTAGTTAATTAACCAAACGCAAATTAGCAGCAAGAATTAGTCAGCCAGGCTTAACGGAGAAGATGGTGAACCCTCCTCTCGCTTTCTGCTTTGCTACTCTTTGCTCCGCCTTTGCTATCGGAGTGTGTTTGTGTGGCGTTTGTGTGTGTGTGCGTGCCTGCCATGCTACACTGTTTTTAAAAAGTTAGAAATAGGGCACATCTGCTTTATTACACTTTATCGCTACTTTGCATGACACAGTCTCTACATAGCATGTAATATTTTTTCTGCCTAAGTCAATTCATTCAAATTAAAAAGTGATTTCAGGATAATGAGAGAGTAATTTTCTCAGTTTTTGCCTTGAAAAACTGGGATACACAGAGTGAACATTTGCATCCGTTCCCCTTCAAATCCCCCTAAACATCCATGATTATAAAAATGCTAATTTAGGAATATTATTGCGATTTTCTTTTAAGAAATTAAAACGTAACTTTAGACAAAGTCAGAAATTACTGAGAAAACATTCCCTCCGCTGGACATGACAGATATTTTAAAACATGTCCACTTCCTCATCATTCCGGCTCACATGATCCAAACAAGCCACTGTACTGCAGTTACCCCGAGGCCCTGCAGGTCAGAAGTACAACCCCTCAGATCTACCACACTGAAGTCAAAATGATTACGTGAGCAGGGATGAATATTCGCCCACTGTTGGCTCCAGCGGGCGAGTTGATGCTCGCTGCTGGAAGTGACTGGTATTCCTCTTGTTAACACTCACTTTGACTTGCCCGTGGCTCATTTTAAGGAGGAACTCTGAGAAAACAAAGCTCCGACTGCACAGTGAGCTCCAATCCTGACTTAGTATTGAATGTATATACAATCTGAATAAATAATCCTTGTGATTTTCAGTTTGTCTCATCAAAACATCCCAAAAGTTAAAATCCCAGACTGAATTGATTCTAATGTCTAGCAAACTTTTGCAACTGTAAAAATATTTAAGTAAGAGCGCTTCTTTTTTTCCAGAGCAGAGTAATATGTCATTCTGACATGAAATGCTACTTACCTGATGGTTTGACACCACCTGGCCCTCTGTGTGGTTTCAAACTACACACATTTCAAGCCCTTGGCATTCTTCACACTTCACTGTCCTTTAAAAACACAGCAAACAAATCAGACTTAACCAAATGGAAACTATTTCTGGAAACTGTTTTACTGTCTTTTCTGTAAATGCTTTTATTTTTTGTTCGATTGTGATGTATTCCTCTCCTTTATAACTGGTGCTTTTGCTATGGTTTGCTGTCCTCTGCTTTCATTTAAATTTGAATAATTATTATTGGACAAAAATTGGTCCCTTTTCTAGACCACTACATTTTGTCCTGTTGATAGAAACCTCTAGAAATGAGCCATTGTGTTACAGAGTTTTTTCGGTTTCCCTTTGGGTTTAAATATACTCTGTTGGTTTTTTGATGTTTGAGTCCTTTTCTTGTTTCATTTAAATCTTTAGTTATTGTTGTTAAGTCTTTGTAACAGTGTTAGATGTTTCCTAGTTTTGTTACTTCCTGTTTTATTTTGCTAGTCTGTTGTTTTGTGTGCGTTGTGTTTCGTTTTGCTGAACTCTCTGTCTCGTTGGTTTGATTCTGTTCACCTGTGTCTTGTTTTCCCAAGCTGTGCTTCCTCCCCCAAATTACTTCATCTGTGTACTTAAGCCCTCACTTTGGTTTGGGTTACTGCTGTTGTTGTGTCCCATTGTTTGTTCTTTGTCCGTAAGCATGTGTGTTTTGGCTGCAAATAACCAAATAAAGGTTAGTTTTTGATTTTGCCACTCTGTTTTAAAGTCTATATTTGGACCCCCTTTCCACATCCTCATCCTGTATACATGACACACTGGTGATTGATGACTATACATGACAATTTAATCATTTTTAAGTATTTTTATTTAAATCATTTTGGGGTTTTCTTTACCTTTCAAAAACTGATTAGAAACTACCAATAAATGTTGTCTTGGTCGGGAATAATTGAATTAATTCTCTAATGCTCACAAGCATGCCGAATCTGTATGAATTCTCAGGTGAAGTCAGGTCATCCATAGAAATTTCCTTTTGCAGTTTAAGTAGTTACAGAATTTTACACTTATTTTAAAAAAAAGTAAAGGACAAAAGTCCTAAAGAGCAATTACAGGGCAACATGGTGGATTTGAGCATTAAAACTATTTTTCATTTTAACAAGACCACATTAAATGAACTTTTTAAAATGAGTTCATTTAAATAAGACCATGAAGGTGCACTTCATTTAAGTAAGTAAAAAATAAATTGATTTTAAAGATTTGTGCACTGGAATGGCTAGGTCTTAACATTAAAATAAACAGCTGTTGTGGATGACTGATGTTTAAAATTCTCAAAAGATATTTGGGTCACCCTGCAGTTTTTTTTTTATTAAACAGACGTTCTTTAATATTGTAGTAGTCAGTAGCTAGCTTCAGAAAGACAAAACAAACAAGCATTACAAACATCTATACACAGATAAATACATTCATATGCAAATGCATTGATGTGCAGATGGAGTAGAAAATGGTTTTGTCATTGGGCATATGAATGTAAACATGGAAAATGTATGTGTATCATTGTGTCTGTGTGTACATGCATGCTTGTAGCTTTAGGGTAAAGTCAGTGCACATTCAGGTCAGAGCTGTCAATCAACTGCCAAACTGTTGTGTTCACTGACTTATAAAAAGAACATAAGGCAGTTTTAGTGAGTAGCAAGTAGAAAAGTTTCTGACCATTAAATGCTTATTTAGCTGTTTTCTGCGTTAGTGTTTCTTAACGTACAGTATGTTACTGTATAGGTCTCATTCATAAACGGAAGCATGTGGTAGAGGTGGGAGCTACCACATGCCCGCCTGGATTCCCTATCTCTCCCAAGGACACTCCAGCAGGTAGAGAGGGTGGGCAAACCACCAACCTGGCAGTTAGCGCCAATCCATTCTACCACCTGGGCCACAGCTGCCCAGGATTTTCATCATTTCCTATGAGGTAGAGCACCAGAACTCTGTTAAGTTACAACATAAGTTAGGCTATACTAGAAAAGATCACCATATGAGTAAAAATAGACCACCTTACAATATAAACAC